AACGTGGAGTGCATTGGCCTACAATTTTTGCCCTGGGTGGTTACTCCAAATGAACATATTAACAGTGTTCAACTGTGTAAATTGTTCCTTATTCTTGTATAAAAAATAGAATCTGTTCTCAGTAATTACTTATTGACAGCTTTTTTCTGTTAATAACTATAACTTTAATAGAATGACATTCTCACTAGCAGAAATCACTAGTAAGGTTTTCTTAATCAACTTTATTAGAGCCTTTTTAAAATTAGGTGCTGAAAGTATTTCCACAGTTTTCATGAGGAATCTGCAGCAAGTCAAATAAGTGTCAAAAGTTAATTTTGCATTCTCATCCAAGAGCTGGATTAATTTCATTGCACTTTTTATTTGCCCCAAAATGTTCTTTTGAATGGGAATAAGCTAATTTGGAACAAATAGCTAAATATCATTCATTTCTAGATTTTATTGCAATGCACAAATTCAGATAATGGTTCATTTAAAAGACAAACAGCTGTTGTTTTTGCACAGTCATCTTTTTTTTCCTGCCAAATAGTGATTAAAATGCTTCTGATTACATCTCATCAGCCACTTGTCATTACCATTCTTTATCACTCACCCATTTTTTTAAGCTAAAGAAATTCAGTTATAAACTTGTTCTATAACCTTATTCTAATTATTTGCCTTTGAAAACAAAGGTTACAATCCCATGAGCTCACCTCCTCTATATCACACTAAAGGTTTTTGGAAGCCAGTTCATAGGCCCTTCAAATATCTTTCAGCAGAGAAAAAACATTTTTATCTCCTGTCACTTTGAGGTGTTCAAGTTAGTACAAAAATGACAGGCAAAATCAATTTTAACTTGAAAGTTTTCTTTGACTATTTGAGGAAAACATTCATTTTCAAAACAGCTATTTCAGAAGGAAATTTGCAATCCTCTCTTGATCTAATCTGTTTGCCACTGCGCCTAGAGGTACTGTAGCAATTTAAAAAGTTACGGGGTGAAAAAGTCTTAGGATGTGATAAATTCACAGTGGTCTCTAAGGCTTTTGTAAGTAAAATAGCTTTGCATGACAGAAAATACAGGGTGGATTCTTTGGTACCAAGATAGTTGTAATCTTTTAAACTTGTAATCTCCTCGCTTTTAAAAGAAAACATGGAATTTCATCAACTTCTGAGCTTTCAAACTGAGAAGCAATTCAAAGTGAAGAAAAACATTAGGTTGCTTAGCTGATGGTATTTGAGAATCATTTTGGACTCCTGACAGCGTGTCTTCATCTGGTTGTAATTTTGGAAAATACAGCAATATTTACTTGACATTATGATATGCCCTTACTTGAACCCACAGTAATACATCTGAGACTCATGTGACGAGCAGGTACCAAGCAGTGAGTCATGATTAGCTTAATTGCACTGTCTAATCAGCCCAGTCTTGTTTTCATTGCTGCATAATATTCATTTGTTTTATGACAGCTACATGTGACTGCATGAACGAGTGGTTCTTCTCGTGCACCTCTTTCTTGGCTTCTCAAAAACTACTGGTGAGCCATTGCCTGTTCCCAAGAGCTCATGAGGCTTTGTTGCTTCTCGAGGGTTTTTTTTTGTGTTTGTTTGCTTTGTTGAGGGTTGTTTGTTTGTTTCTGGTGTTTTTAAGAGAATGCACATAAGCAGTGAGCTTCATCAATCAGTTTATCTTGACGGAAAGCTGTGCTCTACTGGGAATGTCTTGTTCTTTGGCTTTCCCTGATGTGTTCTCTTGAATGCTCCTTACTTATGATGAATGCTTAAAGAGGGGCTGACATGTCCTTTACACATTATTTCTGCATCCCTAGAGAAGTCAGGCTTACCTTGCACTAGACATCAAGCCAATTTCAGTTATTCCTTTAAGAAAGGAAGACCTGGGCAGTGTTAAATTAGTCTCACATTTTAAAGAACAATAGGAAAAGAGTTTTCTGCATTCTCCAAGACAAAGATTACAGACACTGTAGAAATAAGTGCCTTGAAGCAGCAAGTCTGGACAAGCTTTTAAGGCGTACAGCATGAATTCTTGTTCTCTTATTGAAAGTTTGGGAGCAATTGAGATGGTGGGGGATGGGGAGGGGGATCACAAAGTGCCCAATAGTGAGGAACAGATCCTGATTTGCAGAATCATGAACACGTGCTGGATGTGTATAAAATACCCATATAAAACAAAAACATATAAAAGAGGCTTGTCTTTGAATATTGACACATGTATGCAGCAGTGGCCTAACATATGGGTTAAGGAAAGGAGAACAGAATAATCTGTTCCTTTTTTAGATTTAGCACCAACGTGAGATGGTTAGTGACACTATTGAATAACCATTCAGCAGTAATTTTGGAGCTACTTATCAGGAAATGTAGGTGTTAGAAAGGACAGCACAAATGAAACATGAGATATGAGAAGAGTGGTTCAGTTTTTTCATATTGGAAGAGCAGTAACAGGTAGGAACGTTGACACCTTTGATACTGCGTGACATGACATGATAGGTCATTTTCTTGACATGATGAACTCCAGTCAGAACAGTCTGCATTCACAAAACAGGAAGTGTATATTTATTTTTTGTTTCTGTTGATGCAGCTCTTTTTTCTTTTTCTCCTACATAGGAAACACTATTTTATGTTCCTTAATCCTGTAGAGAAACGTTTGAATATTGTCTAGCATTTTACAGTGGGTTTTACTTCTTTATCTCCTCCCTTCCTTTGTCAACTTGAACAAATAATTCCCAAGAGGTTTCCCTCTCATAAATCCCCTATGATCTGTATGGTCCAAACTTGTCTCTCCTTTTTTTTGCATAAACAAAAGGTTGTTAACAAGTCAGCAGACAAAGACCTGCGCTTTCAGGGATTTCAGCCTGATAAATCTCTGGTGTATAGTGTACAAGGCATAACAAAATACAAAGACTTTGAGGTTGGTTTTTTTGTTTATTTCATTTCTACTTGGTTCTTGCATATTGGTGTTTCTTACCAGGTACCTCAGTTGCTCAGATTGTGAGAGATTACTGCCTTGATTGTCTGTGATTTCTGTGACTTCAGGCATTAAGGACCACATGTGTTTCTGTGATGCTCTGTTTGTTTATTTATATCATCAGCCTGCTTAAGACTTTTTCCAATTATTATTAAGTGGAATAAATTAAAACCAAAACCACTGTTAGTATGAGCACAGAGCAGCAGAGAATAACACACGAGCAGATTCAGCCTGGGATTAAAATGTAGCTTTATCATCAGTACCTCTCTATCCCTGTTGTACCTATAGAGACCTAAAGCAAAAATGCACTTGAGTCTTTACGTAAGTTACAGAGTGGTGCATAGAAGTCAATCAAGTTTTTGAAATCAGAAAATCATACAGTGGTTGTTAGCTGGAATATACAGCTGGACACCTCTGATAGCAAAGAGGGATTCTGTGCCTATGGGAACAAACAAAATATTGATCCCAGAATTTCTTCCTCCTGCTACTCCTACGTTTCTGTTTATGAAGGTTGTAAATGTTATCAAGGGTTGAACAGGTGAAAGTTCTCAAAGAGCTACGAATTTGAAGTATTTAATTCACTTACAGGTGATTCCCTTAGTTTAGGAGAAAACAAGGACAAGAATAGTGTTGTATAAAAACATTCCCATTCTTAACCATATAAAGCTTCATAGAAGAATCATGTTTTGTCTTATGACTGTAACCTTGAAAAAAATTTGCATGTGCAGATACTGTAGGGCCATTTACAAGACAAGTATCCCTTTACATATAGTAAAGATTGTATAGCCTTTCAAGTGCCCTACGAAGCAAGGAAAATTAAATTAGAACTTTCATCCTTTCACTACAGCTCCACCAAATCAAAGGTTACTTATAAAGATTATCTGGCATATTTTGAAAGTACTTCAAAAATGAAATTAGCAGGCCTTTGCAGAGTGCCACTGCATGAAGCCTTGGGTGTGGGAAGAGCCCCAGGTAGCATTGTGAGCTGGTGACACTTCCCTCTCTTTTTGTTACATGGGAAACAGAATCAATTGTGTTCCAGTGCAACTCTGTCATCTGCTAATGGAAAGAAGTTGATATTGAAAGGAAATTTGAGCTAGCACTCTGTAAAAGTGCTACACTACAAAAGCTCTCCGTAGATCAGTTGCACTTGTCCTGTAAAACTGTTGACAGTGGCAGAATTTGTCCCTGAGGAGTCTGATAAGGCATTGTGCATCTGTAAATGTGGGGAGCTGAAGCTGCTGTCAAATTGAGAGCACAGGACTGGTAGAATCCAGTTGCTAACTCCTCCAGCTGCCATGGCTGACCCTCATCAGCATTTTGCTTCATTTCTTCCATGAGTTCCCTGGGTTCTTTGAGCAGATTTCCTATAAGCTGTGGACTTAAATGCACAGATCCTGTTTTCCATAAACTTCAATAAATTCTGAACCACGCCTCCAAAGATTTTGAACAGGATTTGTGGCTGTGCCTCTGTGCCTTAGTCATTCTTTGGCAAAGCTGTGTCACAGACTTGAGCTTACCGTCATTGTTCTTTGATCCTTGAGCAGTTTATGTCCAGTAATTGCTTTAAAATTAGAACACGTTTAGAAGTATGTCATGCTGTCTTTGTAGAAAAAGGATTTATCCACCTGGGTATCAAATTGCAGTGCAAATTAATATAGTCCATATCTATATAGCTTATCTGGATTATTGCTGTAGTAAATTAATTTTTAGCGCAAAGCAAAATTATCCTTTTAAATATTGGCCTTAGGTCATTTCTCTTGTTTGATTAGCATTTGCATTTGTTACTAGGATGCATGGGAAGGAATTACCTGGTCTCTTTATATCAAAGCAGATTTTAATTATCTCACTATATAAAAGGTCTTTTTTTGCCAGGAGTGTTTAATATTCTCTTGTAATTGCACGTCCCGTGAACTGGCATGTGTTTATGACTTGATATTCACACTCCAATGAAAATGAATATTTATAAAAATATAGTCTCAGTGATCTGCATACTTCTAAGAGCATATCTTAAAGTAAGCATATTTCTTCTGTCTCTATTTAGTCGTTCGTGACACTTTGGAAGACCCTGTTTCCAGAGGCAGTGCCGCCTGCCCCTTGGGCTACTTTCCCTGTGGCAATATCACAAAGTGCTTGCCCCAACAACTTCACTGTAATGGTGAGGATGACTGTGGGAATCATGCTGACGAAGACAACTGTGGTATGTTGTTAAGGCTTTTCTTTGTTTCTGGCAGTCACTGAAACCCATGCACTGTTTGCACCAAGTGGAGAGTTACAGAGCAGAAGCCGTTTGAACGTTATGTGTTTTCAGAGGACGTAGCAGATACTGGCTTTCCCTGATAAAGCCTCTCAACAAGCCATTTGCTAGGAAGAAAGGGCTACATTTGCATATCGTAGAAGTTTATCCAGTTTTATCATTTTTGCTTTTCATTTTGATGTGTACCTGTGTGTGTGAACTAGGAAAGGCCCCTGCTGCAGACAGATGGACCTACATGCTGACCTACGATGCTTGACTTAACTGTTAAAGCTGGTTGGGAAGCAGAATTTAAACTAATTTTCAAAGTTGGCCAGAAATCTTTCACGCCCTAAAACAGGAGAAAAAAACCAGAGCCATGCTTGTATGAGTTCTGCAAGCTGCAAGGCTGCCAGATTTTGGAAATGTAGATATCTGAGGAAATGCACATAGGCTGCTGCTGCCTGTTGTTGCAGACCTTGTCACTCTGCCTCCATCTCCATGGAGTGAAGATGCCAGCCAGGCACGCTGCCATCAGAATGGAGCATGGAGGCAAAAAATGAAAACTATATATACACACTAATGTTTCTGAAAAGTATAACTTCAAACAAAATATGGTAAATGTATTTTTCATTAACAATCTCAGCAAAATCACTGAGAGATTGAAACCGTGTTTGCTTTCACTCCATATTTTCAGAGCTCAAAATTGTGCCTGCATGCAGTACCTTATTTCTCTGCCTATGAAATTCTACCATATGAAAATTACTTTAGGCTCTAATCCCATTTAACAGACCTGTGCCACCTTGTAAATTGATGTCACTTCCACCATTTCATTGCCAGTGATTTAAATCTTGAAGAAAATTGACTCTTGTTCTATTGTTCTTCTGTGTATAAGTTGCCTCTTAAACTGTTGATGCATGTTCCATTTCTGTAAAGTACCAGAAAGTCTATTGTGCAAGGACTTGCTAAAGTTGTACAGATTGATCAAGTGGGGATTTGGACACACACAGTTTTGCAACAGGATATGCAGGACAACAGAGCCTGCAAAGCAATTCAGCTGCAGTATAGAATCCATTTCCAAGTACAACAATGAGCTAGAGACCATTTCTGAGCTATGAAGGATGATAAGTCTTTGTATCAGCTCTATGAGAAATTAGTGTTTTCTTCTTGCATCATAACCTGATATTCTCAAAATGCATACCTTGTATAATGCACTGTGCTCATATTCAGCTCTAAAACTGATGCAGCAGTCAAATTTCATTGTTTGACTAAAAGAAGAGTAATTACGTTGCCTGAGAACTTGAAATGTTCTCTTGGGGTTTCTGTAACATTCCTACATTGAAGTATGCGTGGAAATCATTGTTGAGTAGGATTTTGTCCAACCATTCATCTTGCTTAAAATCAAAGGAAGTGTCACCAATTAGTTCCCAAGACAGGGATGCTATCCAGCTATTTCTTTATGCTGCAGTTTCCCAGGGCTATTTCAGTGTGCCTGCCATTACGCCAGGAGTTATAGCTAGTTCTTTATACCCTTTTTTTTAATGTACAGCTGGAATCATTGCTCCTGGTTACAGAAAAGCAATTCAAAATTAAATTACTTCACTGAAGTAATTGTTTTGTGCAGCACCATAGGACCTTTTACTCTTATCCACAAGGTACCCCAATTAAGTAACTCGACTTTTAAATTCTTGCACACTTCTATCTTGCATAAATTTGAGTAAGACTTTTGAGATGGTCAGTCTACCACATTCAAGCCAGCACATGTGGTGGGGATGGAAAAAAATAGTGTGGGCCCTAAAAGGAATTCAGACATGTAAGATAAATGCTTCTCAGGTACAGCTAGCTGGAACAACAGTTCCACCAATTATGTCTTCAGTAATGACAAAGCCCTATCTTAAGCCTAGAGAAAAATATTATAGCAGAGGTTTGCATTTATTTTAAACCAGTCTGATAAAGAAAGGAGATGCAAAGCAAAAGTAATTTCTCACAAAGAGTAGTCCTTTCTTTGGTGGAAAGGATGATATCAATGAAGATTAAAAGAAAAAAAACAAAACACTTCTTTTGAAGAGCATAATAATGCCATTGCAAAAATTGGGTGAAATTGCTTGGAAAAAAAGAGATACCCTGAACATAAGACAACCCAAGGTCCAGCTGTTCAACAGTAACTGCTAGATGTGCAGAGTATTAATAGAAACTGATTACCAAAATAGCACTTTTAAGAAATATCAATGAATTAAACAAGCAGAGAAGTAATTAGCATAAAAGCACTCTTAGATATTCAGAGAGAGTTGCTTTGTAAAAACCTTTAAGTGACCTTACAATAGAAAGGCATAGGTTTTTCTTCTATGGCTGTCAATTACAGTGAGATACAGAAGCCATCTGGGTATTCTGGTCTTGCAAGTTACTCAAGTTGGAATCTTGAAATTCCACATGCAGTATGGTTAATCAGTAGCACAGCTTAAAATTTGTCTGCCTAATTTATTATGTGATGTACAAACCCATATTTAGATCTCACATGGCTTTATGGTAGGTTGGAAATAAAAGGTGAAAGAGCATCTCCTCTCCATGCATTGATGCAAGAGAGAACAACATAACAGGAGTCTGAAAATACTGGCATTAGTCGGTCTGAAGAAGGCTGGTGTCTGCTCTCTGTTATTAATGGTCCCCATTACCATACACTGCAAGTTTACCAGGCTACTGAGAATGTGTGTCCCAGCCCCTTGGCCTCTTGGATGTTCCTCTAGACCCAGACATCTTTGCTCTGTGCCCCCACTGTATGCATACCACAGACATTTTGTAGATGTAGATCAGAAACCATCAGAGATTTCACTAAATATTCCAGGTACCTCTTGGCAATTCTGCCCCTTTCCTCTCATCTTGAGCAGAGTTCTGTAGTTTCCCTCTTTATTCATACAGTGTTATTTATATCATTATGTTTGAGAAGATTTGCAGTGTTTTTTCTCTTTCACACACTGCATGCCCTGCAGCAGTAAAATATGATTACAGATATTTGAAATTAAAAGGATTCTTCACTCACTGGTAGCTGTCTTCAGTTGTTCAGTAATAGCACTTTCTGTTAAATACATGCATGTAACAGTTAGCTTTGTGGAGCCTCCTTCACACATTTTTTCTTTCCTTTCCACTGAGATCTCTATCAGAATAATAAGTTAAAAACTAAGAGATGCAGCCTGAAATTAGAATAATAGACAGGGTCACATTTAGATCTGAGATGGCCATGGCCGTTCTTAACCTCAAGGTGAGGATGTTCTGTTTGGCAGTTAAGCTTCAGCATTTCTTCCTCTTCATGACCCTTCTAGAGAGGGGATATCCAGAATGAAGCTGCTCATCTTTGAAAATCCATGTGCCTTTTTCACCCAGTTGAGTTCTCAATCAATAAAGTAGTGTGTGTGTTATCCTGATGGGGAAGAGCTTGAGGCAGCTATAAGAGAAGGAGAGCAGCAATTTATCAAGCCCTAAGTGATAACAGGTTCTTTTCAAACTAACATTAGATAACCTTAAATGTGCATGGAAAATACAATCTTTCCTTATGAATGTGAAAACATAGTCCATCAAGTAGCAGGTGGCTCTGTACATTTTCCATAAATACAATATATTTAAACAAAAATGAGTTATGTGAAGTTTTATCATTTGTCATAAACGCTTGTGGCTTTGAGGAATTTTCCTTTTTAAGGTTAAGTGTGGCAGTAAATTTTTCCCTGCTCTTCTGCCCTGTACTCATTCTTTCTGAAATACTGAGTTCTTCCCAAAGCAACCAAGTATGATGTTTAGCAGTTTAGCCTAAATCGTGACCTGGTAATCTCAGCTGGGGAGCACACGAACACCCCTGTGACTCTGGAAGAAACAGTCAGAGACCTACTGCTCCAACTGGACTGCCACAAGTCGATGGGGCCAGATGGGATCCACCCGAGAGTGCTGAGGGAACTGATGGAGGTGATAGCGCTGACAGATGATGGAAAGCGGCTCGGCTCCTTGTTGACTGGTGAGGTCCCAGAAGACTGGAGGCTTGCCATTGTGACTCCCATTTATAAGAAAGGTCGTAAGGAGGATCCGGGGAACTACAGGCCTGTTAGCCTGACCTCGGTGCCAGGGAAGGTGATGGAGCAGATTGTCTTGAGGGAGATCATGCGGCATGTGCAGGGTGACCGGGGGATCAGGCCTAGCCAGCATGGGTTCATGAAGGGCAGGTCCTGTTTGACCAACCTGATCTCCTTCTATGATCCAGTGACCCATCTGGTGGATGGGGGAAAGGCTGTTGATGTGGTCTACCTAGACTTCAGCACAGCCTTTGACACTGTCTCCCACAGCATTCTCCTGCAGAAGCTGGCAGCCAGAGGCTTGGATGGATACACTCTTGGCTGGGTGAGGAGCTGGTTGGAGGGCCGGGCACAGAGAGTGGTGGTAAATGGAGTCAAATCCAGCTGGCGACCGGTTGTGAGTGGTGTTCCCCAGGGGTCGGTGCTGGGCCTGTCCTCTTCAATATCTTTATTGATGACCTCGATGAGGGCATCGAGTGCACCCTCAGTAAATTCGCAGATGACACCAAATTGGCTGGAAGTGTGGATCTGCCTGGGGGTAGCGAGGCCCTACAGAGGGACCTGGACAGGCTGGAGAGCTGGGCTGAAGCCAATAGGATGAGTTTCAACAAGGCCAAATGCCAGGTCCTGCACTTCGGCCACAACAACCCCAGGCGACGCTGCAGGCTTGGGGTGGTGTGGCTGGAGGACGGCGTAGAGGAAATGGACCTGGGGGTATTGATTGATGCTCGGCTGAACAGGAGCCGACAGTGTGCCCAGGTGGCCAAGAAGGCCAATGGCATCCTGGCCTGCATCAGAAACAGCGTTGCAAGCAGGAGCAGAGAGGTGATTGTTCCCCTGTATTCAGCACTGGTGAGGCCGCACCTCGAGTGCTGTGTCCAGTTTTGGGCCCCTCACTGCAAGAAAGACATT